AAATACCAACCTGGCATTATTGGGTGATTATTGTGAAAAATGTAAGTCACCAGATGACGCTAAGTTGACCTTGTAAGACATGAAAGAAAAATGTTTGTTCTGTAAAGCTGTAAATATAGTATTAAGAATGATTGAAACACTACTTTCAGCAGGTTGCAGTAAATGTGTATTGAAAATTCTAAAATATTTGCTTTGTAAAATATCTATTCACTGATGTTTGTAAAGTGTATTTTCTGTTATTTTAGATGTGGGAAAACAATAATTCAGTTATAAACATAGTTAAATAAGAAAAAACTTCATGATCAATTGTAACATGCATTACGTTAATGGAGTTTGTGTTTTTTTTTATCTTAGATATTGGAAAGCAACAATAGCTCAGTTATATACACAGTTAAATAGGAAGAAAACTTCTCATGGTCAATTTTAACATGCATTATGTTTATGGAATGTATTTTTTGTTATTTTAGATGTGGTAAAACAACAATAGCCCAGTTATATGCAGAATTAAATAGGAAAAAACTCTTCACAGTCAATTGTCACATGCATTCTGAAGCTTCAGATTTTCTTGGTGGTTTACGTCCTGTTCGTCACTTTGAGGAGAAAGTAAGCATAGACTTTTACCATTCATGTAAAATGAGTTGAATGTTTTTGACCTGTTGTCTTAGAGACTTAATAAGTTATCTTGTTTGTATATGTTTAACCCTCACTTTATTAATTTGTTTAAATACCATTCATTAATGGTAGGATCAACATATTGCATCATATTGAGCTGTTTTATATTATTGCCTGTTACACCACTCAGTGTAAAAAAAACTGAACAAAATGTTTTGGTAACCACTTTTTTTCCTGTGTAAAATACATAAAGACCTCAGTAGAAGTTAGCAGGATTAATTTCAATATTAATAGTATTTGTCTTTCAATTTTTGTATGATTCATGTGTTATTATGGACTTTATAACCAACAAACCACAATAAATTTGATGGTTTAGAAAAATCTGTGGACCCCACTAGTAATTCTAGGGTTAAATGTGCTGTTTTATTCAAGTTTTTTCCTGTTACGCCTTAATCAAGTCACGCGTGGGATAGTGGTAAATCTTCGGATTTATAATGCCAAAATCAGGGGTGCGATTCCCCTCGGTGGACACAGCAGATAGCCCAATGTGGCTTTGCTATAAGAAAACATATTTAGCATTAAAAAATATTTAGCATACAGCAGATATGTTTGGAGGTTGTTTAAGATGCACAGTTTTTTTTTTTCCAGTGAATGAGTTAAATGTATTTAGTATACAGCAAAAATTTTATGTCATTCGCTACATAGATTTTTCTAATGTGTCTTTTGTTATTTCAGACAAGTAATAAGCTTTTTGAGTGGGTGGATGGGCCATTAGTTTTGGCTATGAAAGAAGGTGGTGTCTTTTTGGCTGATGAAATCTCATTGGCTGAAGATTCTGTGCTTGAAAGGCTGAATAGTGTTCTGGAACATGAACAAACAATACTGTTAGCAGAAAAGGGAGATACAGGCATGCCTGATGAAAGCTACATTGTCAAGGCTCAGAAAGGATTTTGGTTTATTGCCACAATGAACCCTGGAGGAGATTATGGAAAGAAAGAGGTTGGATTTATACACTCACTTTTAGAATTTTTTTAAAGCATAACTTTTTACCAGTTAAATGCTGTGAATTGCTCTTAAGAATATTGAAATAAAGATATGTGAAAAACATTGTGTAATTAGATTTGATATTGTATTTTTTAAATTCAAAGAGGTTATTGAACTAATTAAAACTATGTAGGAAATAATGCCTTGTGGTTGTTGAAAGAGATAAAAAGTAGTAGTTTGACCTACAACATACTTCTTTTTATTGAAATATATAAGTTTAAGAAAATATTTTGCATAAATTCAAATGCATACAACATACTTTACAGTTAAAAGGAAATATTTAATGTGCAGAATAATTTTTTATACAAAATCTCATCTGTTCGTCACAGATGTTTTCCACAGCGAAATATTCTGTTGAAGGGCACTGAATACTTTAAATGTGACTTTATAAAAATTGCTGCTACTTTTATAGAAGAATCTATTCAAATAAGAAAAATTACATACAGTTTTTATTGTTGTTAATAGATTATTTGAGAATATTAAGATTATATAATGTAATTTTGTTTTTAGCTTTCTCCTGCCCTTAGGAATCGATTCACTGAGATTTGGTGTTCATCATCATTCACCTTAACAGATTTACAAGATATTGTAGAGCACAACATTAGCTCTGAAGTAAAATTGAACCTTGGAACATGGTGTGGTCAAGCCATTGGAGAATTTGTTCAATGGTTTACAAATAACAGCATTGGTAGAAGGTAGGCTAATGCCACTTCAATAGTTTTTGTAAGAGATGACTTCTGAAATTCAAGTTTTACTGTGGATAATTTTATTTTAGATAGTATGAGCCTTTGAAATTAACTTGTATTAGTTGCTTGATTACATATAGTGAGAACTTATTAAAAAGTAGAAATATATGTATTATATAGTTTCATAGTAAAACTGTTATTTAATTTACGTTTCATCACTATTTAGTTGACAAATACAGATTTCCAGCAAGAAGTAAATATAATAGCATTATAATTACACCTTGTTTGTTGTATGCCATTGCCAACACCAGAAGTTATCAGAACTACTATATGCCATGCTTTTCACCAGCTTATACATTCTGCACCTTAAGGATTATTGACTCATAAATTACTAATGTAAATAGTAGTTCATTTTATGCTGTACCCAGCTGGCCTGATGACCTCTGGTATTGAATTAAAGGTCTCACTGACAGCAACATACAACAAACAGGGTATAGTTTGAAATACTATACACTGTTCATGCTAGAAATCCATGTTGGACAGGTAAACGTTTGTGCAATATAAATTATTTTGAGTGTTAATGTGATATTATGTTACTATAAAGCACCATGCTCTGCCAGCTAAGATTATAAAAGTACTTGTTCCTTGTTTTAGATGTACTGTAAGTATCAGAGACATCCTATCATGGGTGGACTTCATTAACCAGTATACCAAAGGAAGTAAGGATGGAAATTTCACTGTGGGATCCACTTATATTCATGGAGCTTGTCTGGTATTTCTAGATAGTTTAGGTTCAGGTGTGTGAAATAATTTGATATGTGGCAACATTTTCAATAAAGTGTTTATATTTTTATCTCAGACTTCTGAACTGACATGTGTTGTTTTGTTTAGTTTTGTTATTACTGCCAAACAAAGTTAGAGGAAGTGATTGTTTACAAATACATTATTTAGTTTTTGGACAGTATTTTTGTATTCTAATCACTCTTTTCTTTGTGGCTCGTGTTGCATAATTATATTTTTCCTGTTCATGTTGCATCATTAGATTATTTCTTCTCGTGTCATATGTAAAGTTTCTGTTGTATCAATAGATTCTTTATACTCATCTTGTACCAAGAGATTTTTCATGTTTGTGTTATGCTAATAAGTTATTAATGTTGTATCAACATTTTTTTATTGTTTTTGGATGGGTGAGTTCCTCCTGTTAATGTTTCATCAAAAGTTTTCCTGTTTGTGTTTTATCAAAACATTATTCTTATTTGTGTTGTATCAGTAATTTTTTGTTCTTTTTGCATCAGTAGCATCAATATAATCATTTTATTGATGTTACATCAGTAGATTATTCTTGTTTATGACACATCAAAAGATTCCATTTGTGTTCCATCAATAGATGTTTCATTTCATGTTTTGTCAATATGTTCTTCATAGGCATCATTAAACAATATTAAAATCCTTCAAGAGATTGCATGAGTATTAAAAATGAAACAGAATCTCAGTCAAATAACTGAATACATTGTTATTTGATCCATCAATTTCATGCTAGGTATGTAGTTTTGTAGTATGTACAGGAAATGAAATTTTTGAGAAGGTTTTTATGAAATTGTGTAAAATTACACTTTTAAAATTAGTGTTTGATCACAAACTAAAGTAGTTTCCATAAATACATTTGTATTGTCAAATAGCCCTGTGTTTCTTTTTTGTTAAGCTCCTATTTAATAAGCCTCTATATTACCTATTTTGATACTTATAAATATAAGTTTTGGGTGCAAAGTTTTATAGATTAATTGATTTTTAAGTTTTATATCGACACAATTTTTTCCCATCATATTGGGATGCAATATGATCATGGGGGTCCTCTGCAGGACCTCAATCATTGATATTATTTTCAGAACAGTGGACTCAGTTTGTATTTTTCCATTAATTGCTTAATTTTTATGAAAGCATTTACATTTTGAAATAAATTATTAAATTTAATATCTGTATGGATAAAATGCTTAAACCACGAGTTTTGTGTTTTTAACTAGGGCTCACAAGTTTTGGAACTAGTAGAGAAATAAATAAAGTTAGAGATGAGAGTTTAAATTTCCTACACTGGCAAATTAAGAAGTATACTGGACAGCATAATGATCTTGAAAGCTGTGGACTCTTCTTCACCTCAGACAAGAAATCAAGTTTGGAAGTTTATTCTACACCAGATACGTTTGGCATAAAACCATTTTACATTTCTGCAGGTTAGTTTAATGTGAAGTTTTACATGTTGTAATAACTTACATAATATTATTTTTTTGGTATCTTCATTTGGGTATAACAAAACTAATGCTGTTTTTTACAATAGATTGGTTTACAGTTTGTAGCTTATTTCTTTGTAATGTTACTGAAATTAAAAATTGTTCATAAATTGCATTGTATCTTCTTTCTAGCTATAAAATAAACAGATAACGAATCACTAATTTTTACAGGTCAATTTTGAACTGTAGTTTTGAGATTCAGTTTGAAAGATTATACTTGAGATAATTCTTAAGCTCCTGTGTCATAAACAGTTTGAAAGGTAATCCAGTTTCTGGCTGAATGAATTGTGGTTTTTTTTAAAAACTAAACAACACAGGGCTGTTGACTGTAGAAAGCAAACAGCTTACTTTTAATATCATTGTAATAAGAAATTTTAAAAAGTATATGGTTATTCCCATCAAACAGGACTTGTCTGATAGGATCTATTATGGTGTATATCATGCAAAACTTTCTTAGTGGCATACATAATCTATCATACACATCTTTTATAATAGTGTATGCTGTGATGCATATCATACAGCACTTTCTTATTATATGTACTATTATCCATATAGTACTGGGCCTTAAGTGCTTTAACTGTGATTCCTGTCATACATGATTTTTCTAATATGGCATAATATGTGATATGTATCTGTTATGATTTCACCAAAGTGTGTATTATAAATCACACTAGAGATTATGTTGATAATGGCAGCTGTTAGAAGTTGGTGAGTATGGTCCAGTCAAAAGTGATAAAATACAGTGTGACAAGGATTGAAATGTCTGGAAAGAGTGATGAAGATTTGGTGAAGATGTTTTAGAAAGAAGAAATATAATAAGAGAAAGTAAAGTTAAGAAAGCTTCCTTTTTTTATAACATATCACTATTGCAATTAGAAATAATTAAGAACCTAGTTAACCAATTTATTCATATTTTTTGAATATTATAAACAATAATTATATTAAATAAATGAGAGTTTGAGTTATCAGGATATTTTACAATAACCTACTATACTCACTAAACCTAACAGAGCTTATCTGATGTTTTATCATCTAAGAAAATTTCTGTAACTTTCAGATATAATTTAGAATGCAAACACTATAAACAAAAAGAATGTGTTAAAAAACTATAAAACAATTCTCAGATTTATTGTTTGTTCCTAAATATTCAAAACTTCTCATTGAATGCCTTTGATCAGTGTTAAAGGAACTCTGACTAGCAAATTTCTCATGAAACTGTAAAACTACTGCTCAATCACTTTATTTATTCTAATATGACATAGTATATTTAATTCTTACTCTATCCAGTCATATTTCAACTTTCTTTCTAGCTCTTTCCAAAACTGTATATCATTAGTGAATGATCGAACCACTTGTGGTGATATTATAAAGGGTGGCAACCAAGGCGTACAAAAACTAAGCATAAAAAGTCATCATAAATGCACGAAAATCAAGAAATAGATAATATATTCTGAAGAGGAGATGGTATCTTAGAAAATGTAAAGCTATTATTTGAGATGGGCAGAAAAATTAAAAAATCTACAAGTGCACTGTTTACAGGCAAGACTTCTTGGAGCTGTGAAGAAATTAATATTTGAAAATTATTTTCATATTTTTTATTAACTATAGTAGAATAAGTTTTTATAAATTACAAAATATTGATTGTAAAATATTTTTGAGTTAAAATTTTTGTAATAGAGTTCAAATTATCATTTTTACCTGAATTTTAAAAATCTTATGTATAAGTGTTCTCTTGACACCTTAAAAGTACTTAGTAGTATGAATAGGCTTAAATGAAAATGTATACTTGAAAATATTTTGTCAGCATTAAATTAAAATTTATGGAGTTTTATTTCATTAAAGCAGTATATACATTTTGACTCCCATACATACTGAAACATGACAATTTATCAACATATAAAATTGACTAAACATTTGTGGCTCAAAAAAATTCATTTGGTGGAAATGATGCCAAAAATATAAAAAGCTGAAAAAAAACCTGAGTAGAAGACAGAATTGATATTCAAAGGAATTAAGGAAAAATGCAAAGGAAACCTGTAAAGAATTATAAGAAATTGTGAAAAAGCTAATTAGAACATATTTATATATATGTACCATTAGGAGTTGTCCAAGTACATTAAGTAGAAATGTAAAGAGAAAAGGGACCAAGATTTATAATATTAAAATTAGAACAAGGATAAGAAATAGAACGAATTTGAAATGTTTAAAAGTTTATATTGAAAAGGAATAAAGAAGTTGTTTCAAGTGACCAAAAGGGAGAAAGGGTAGAAAGAGCTTATGATAAGATAATAATTGAAGACCAAAGCTTAGAATAGGACAATGAAAAAATGAAGATGAAAATGAAGTAAAAAACTGGGAGAAAAGGATGTAAGGTAGATGTGTGAAGAACAAGTAAAATTATTACAGAAGAAAATATGCAGAAGAGAAGAGCAATAAGATAAGAAAGAAGGAAAATTATAGGAGAGAAGAGCAATATAATACAAAAAGAGGAAATAGTGAAGAGTTAGAAAACAAGGGAAAGGTACTAAAATGTTAGTGTTGACTATGGCAGGATTATTTAATAAAAGTAAGTATTAATAAGAGTTTGAAAACATGAAGTGGTGAACCTGATGAACAGAAGTCAGAAAGTAGTATAAAGAAGAAACTTGGTCAGGTTAAGTAGTACTTTGTGCTATCTACAACAAGAAACTTTATGTTTAAATGAAAAGTTAAATGGGTGAGAGAGAAAAGAAAGAGCAAAATAAAATTTCATAATAGGAATTAAAGTGTGGTATCTATGGTTAAATTGGAAGGAGAAGAGGAAATGAGACTTCCAGTTAATAGCAAAAAAACAATGAGGAGGTATTTTTTGTTGTGTATAGTATCTGGGAGGTGAAATAAGTTAGTGCAAAAAGGAATATAATTAGAGGAATGAATGCAAGAAGGAAAACATAATTTCCAATACAAGGATTGGAAAAGATTATGATGGGGGAGGGGAAGAAGGCATGAGATATGTAATGAAAAGGATATAGAAAATTACAAGATTGAGAATTGAAATAGGAAAGGAAAACATTTATAGAATTTTGTGGTTTAATGATTGGGAGGTGAACATATACAGGAACTAGAGGTGTTTTGATGGTAGACTATCAATTGTCAAAAAGAATAAGAATTATTAAATGGATTAATGTAGAAAAAGGATGGAATGGGATCACATGAAAATAAAAGAAAGGTAGGAAATTCAAAGTCAGAATATATATATATAACTTGGAATTGAATAATAATGAAAAAGTTATGGGAAGAAATGATGAAGGCTAAAGAAGACAGGAGAAAGTTTTAGTGAATGTTAATATTGTTTGGAAATTTGTGGTAGAGAAAGTAGGTACAAAGTATCAGAGATGAAGAGGAAATGATTGTTTTTATTGAGAATGTGAAGATCCCTTCCAAAAAAAAAAGTGACAACTGAAAAATATTAGAAAGATGGGAGAACAAAAACAGAGAGAAGAACTGATAAAAGGAAAAAATAATTGCAGCAGTTATCAAAAAAGAAGTCGAAAGACAGGCAGAGAATGATTTCAGAAAAAGTAGAAAACAATAAAACACTAAGGAGTTTTGAAAAGTGTGAAATATATGTTTAGGGAAGAAGGATGGAGAGTGGATAAGTAGTGAATATGCAAGAATTGAGGGACCATTTTAGAAGTTGGAAAGCAAAGAGTAGAATTGCAGGAAATTAAATGCGTAAGAGAACAGATGAGAAATTGAATAGTTGGTGGGCAGAAGAGAAATTTGAAAAGCTATTAAAAGTTTGAAGAAAGAAGGAGTTCAGGACAGTATTTTGAATTGAAAGAATTTCATGAGAATTTAACAAAAGAAATGTGAGAATCAAAGTATTAACAACTATGAACAAGATATGGGACACAACAAGGCATGTAAAGAAATAGAAATTTAAATCATTTACATATCAGAAAATGAAGGAGAAGTAAAGAACTTAAGAAGTATCTCGGTACTAAACGTAATATAGAAAATAATGTCTGAAATGATGACAGAAAGGGTTAATGAATAATCAGAAGGAAAAGAAATAATAAATGAAAGTCAAACAGGACTTCAGAATTATGTTGTCAGAATATACTGTGGTAGAAAACAAATAACAAAAAAGAAAAAGGAAAGTTGAAAAATTTAATAAAGTAGGAATAATTGGAAGGAAATTGATGTAGTGTAAGTAATATATATATATATATATATATATATATATATATATATATATACTTACTTTAACCTTAACTTAACTATAG